GACCGATCCCTTCTCCCAGATGAAATCCTATCTCCTATACTTACATCCCATTTATTGAATTGGATAAAAGAAGAAGATCACTGAAATATGAATTCCAAGGGTTTTTAAGGAAACCTCATATTATCCTTTTAGAATCCTAAAGTCTTGGTCCAACCCTACCCCAAAAGGTTGCTCCAAGGGAAATCTCCAAAGCCATATTTCAATCAGATCCACGTTCTAGTCCCATAATTTCCCACTTTTAAACTACCTCTACTTTATTTCGTGTTACCATAACCCAAGCCACCAAGTGTCTTTTTTCCCAAAATACCAAGCATGAGAAGAACATTATTACTACCAAAAAGTATGTTAGCAGGAGAATTTATAACAGGAGGGAGTTAGTTCCAACAAAAAAAATAATAATAATAATACTAAAATAAAATAACAGGAGGGTTCAAACAATGGACAAAAGCTATAGATAGATTATTCCCTTTCCTCCTTGTTTTTGCAGGGAGGATGCTGGTGTGAGGTGCAAGAAATATAATTAACCTTGTTATTGTAAAATTCAGCCATTTGCCAACTCTCTTCCACATGTGCAATAGGCATGCTCATACCTACAATGAAACAGCAAATTAAGTATTCATCTAACAAATACGAGGTATGCTACCATAGAGATATGCCCACACCGCAATCTTTTCCTGCATATGCAATCCATGCCAGAGCAGTCAGACTGTCAGAAGCTGACTTCAAGTGGTAGAAAAAATCAGGTCTCTTTCCTTCTGTTAATGCATTAGCTTTTGCAATCGCCTCATTCAATGGTTTAAGAAATTCAACTAGCCCTGCCGTGTCAGGTTTCTGCAGAGTTAACAAATGCAAATTTAGCATCATGTTGTCAAGGAAGAGGATGAAGCTAAGACAACAAAAAAGGTTAATATAATAAATTAGAACAACCCAGTTCACCATTTAAAATGATAAATTGATATAGAGCTTTGCAGTGTAGTATCTCATACAGAAAAATGAGCTTGCACTTTTTTCTTTCGCTAGCCAATAGTATAATTGCTCTTAGATCATCACAATGATTACAAGATGCTAGAACTTCAGATAGAAATATGAATGAACTGCAGCAATCTCATTCCATTTTAAACCGTCAAACCGACATTGATCTAAGGTAATAAATTTTGATAATAAAAGAAACAAAAAAAGCCAGCAGATGCTAAAAAATTTATTTCCAAAAAGCTGATAGTGAGATAATAATTCTCACAATGGGATCAGGTTCGTTAAAATAGCAAATTACTCTGAGTGTACAAATTTGTTAAGGGGGAGATCAATGGAGAAGAAAGGGTACTAAAGCACACAGGAAGAGGAATGGGGGGAAGCAGCCAATGAAAACAATAGAACTTGAATGGAGATGCGATGCCATTTCATCTGCAACCAAATGGCACCGTTTTGGAATTATTTAAGTTGTCAAGTTTTAATTTTAAGAAAACGACTTTACACTTTTGTGAGAATCACGTTTCTTCACTGTAGAGAAGAATGGATTAATGCTGTGTATATGGAGTGGAGAATCAGTTTTTGCAATCTGAAATTCAGTAAAATTGTTGGAGCATTTCAACAGCGCTCTCTCTCTCTCTCTATACTTCTTACTTTTTTCGTTTACTCCCTCCCCCATTCTCTTTTGCTTCACTTTGGTTACAATTCCAGCTCATTTCAGCCAGGTTATTTCCTTGCTCAAGCTGTGTGAGTTGGTCGTTGGAATTGAGGTCCAATTCGTGACAAATTGGTATGAGAGTGGGCATAGCAAGCGTACACTACTGGGCAATTGCTAATAATGGATACTAGAGCCAAAATTGTGGACGAGCACTTGAAGAAATTGGATTTAGAGATAGCTGATCCGGGAACTTCATTTAAGGCCGTTACCAGCCGGTTGGAGAACAAATTGGCTTCCACAGATCAAACACTTCAGGTAATGGGTCATAGACAGGAGAAAATTGAAAATAATGTATTATAAATGAACCAAAAGTACGAAAAACTAGTGGCCATGTAGGCCCAGATATCTTAGGATCTTAAAATGGAACAGAAGAACAAAGGGATGAAGGAATCTGTGGTTGACGGGAGGACCGGAGTGGTGATGTCTACACCAGGAGTTAGTAATACTAGTGGTAGTACAATTACTAGAGGAAAGTTTAATGGAAACACCAAGCTTCCTAAGGTTGATTTTCCCCACTGTGGAAGAGAAGGACCTAGGGAGTGGTTTAGGAAGGCAAGGAAATACTTTCAGATACACTGAGTGCCTGATGAACTTAGACTAGGGATTGCTGAGATATATTTGAAAGGCAAGGCAGACATATGCTTTGATGGGTTCATTGCCAGCCATGCCCCTGGGCAAACTAGGGTGTATTCTTTGATGAGTTATGTAAGAGATCGATAGAACACTGCTGAAATTCAACTTCACTAATCAAGATTAATAGGATATAACAGGCTGGAACAGGACTCAAATGTAATTATAGAATTCTATTACTGAACGAATGCTACAAAAGAACAGCCATTTTATTATATGATGAACTGCTATGAAAACATAACAATGAAAGAAACAGAAAGAACAAAGGTATTTGGCTTTTCGAGAGGCCAATTCTCTCCCAAGTGACTACCAATTCCCTGCTACTGAACTGAAATCCCTTCCCCTTATTTATAGGTTTTTCCGCTCCTAGACTGTTCCTCCAACAAATTATGTAAATGTGCAGGTGGCCTCCTCTCTTCTTGCATTTCCTTTCCTACCCTTGCGCATTTGATAGGTAATCTATATTATGGGTCTATCAGAGATTTGCGTAGACCACAGGTGAGGAGATGATCGAGACCTTTAGTAAGATCAAACGATTGGGAACTATCTCTGAGTATCAAGAAAGGTTTGAGGAATTGAAAGCCCAAGTGATGATGACACTGTCCCATGTTCCATAATCTTACTTTAGAGGGTGTTTGGTGAGGATTAAAACTATATTTTTTATTAGATTGTGATAGAAGTTTTTGAAATGTATGGTTGAAAAGTTGTAAGATCCATGAAAGATATGATTAATATTGATTATTTGATTTTGACTTATATTAAAATCAAATTTTAACGTGAACCAAACAATCTCTATATATCTGTGTTTACTAGTGGATTGAGAGGGAAAATTAGATCCACGGTTAAGATGATGAAACCAAATACCTTAGCCAAAGCATTTGAAGTGGCTAGCTTGCCGGAATTCACCATCCAAGCTATAAATAAATTCCAAAAACCTAGGAGTTTCTCACGAAACAAATGGAATCCCTACCCTTCCAAGTCTCCTAAAGAAACCAAAGACAAAGAACCGTGGCAAAATATCAGTAAACCACCAAATAACTACAAAACCATCATCCCTACCGACTTTCAAACCAAAAAGAACTTGGGACTCTATTACAAATGTGATGAAAAGTACACCATAGGCCATGCGTGCAAGAATAGGCCCCTAAAATTAAATTGGTAGATGAAAATGAGGAAAATGAACCAAAGGAAGATGAGAAATTTGAATCGGAAGGTGGAGAACATGGAGATTTCAATCAATGCCTTGACTGGAGAGTGGAAACATTAGACAATTAGAGTGCCATGAGTAGTTAAAGGAAGAGAAGTATCCATACTGATTGACATTGAAAGCACGTATAGTTTTATGGATGAGGAATTAGCAGAAGTATTGAAATATGCTACTGATGGAACTAGTAAAGCAACAAATAGAGCAACCAATGGGGATAAATTAAAGAGTACAGCATTATGCCAACCTATGGTATGGAAGGTACAAGACTGAGAATTTCAATTCAAACTCATCAGGACCCTTAAATTAGCAAGGAGTGACATGGTGGTGGGGGTAGATTATATGAGTCAGTTTGGTCTAGTTACCTTTAATTTCATACAAGGGTGTGTCCAGTTTCAGAGCAATGATGAAGTAATAAAATTGAGGAGTGAAGTTTCCAAAAATCCTGTCAAATTAATGGAGATGAGGGAGATGGAGAAAATATTTGGTAAGGAGCCTTATGGGATAGTGGGGCAATTGTACCATATCAAGAAGGAACAAACTGTGGATATACCTGGCCAGATTTTGGAGGTCATACACAAATTTCCCAGAGTATTTAAGTAGCCAACAAGTTTACCTCCCTGTAAATCACATGATCATCACATTCCATTGAAGGAAGGAGTACTGGCATTTAGAATCAGAGCCTATAGGTGCCCTTTTATTCAAAAACAGAAATAGAGAGGCTATTAGTGGAGATGCGAAGATACATATTAAACCAACAGTGAGAACCTTTCACAGGCAAGGGCAAGGATGAAGCTTGATGCTGATAAAAAGAGATCAGAAAGGTCATTTGTTGAAAGTGATTAGTCCAAGGTGGTAACAAGGAAGAATTCGTCAGCAGAACAGTGGCTTATACAATGGCCGAATCTTGCTCCAGATAGGGAAGATGTTGAATGGATTAAACTCCAATTTCCCTTTTGTAGATGTTGGGGACAAGATCAAGGTAAGCTGGAGGGTAGTCAAGGGGGAGGCCAATGGAGAAGAAAGGGTATCAAAGCACACAGGAAGAAGAATGAAGGAAGCAGCCAACGAAAATAACAGAATTTGAATGGAGACACTATGCCGTTTCATCTGCAACCAAACGGCACCATTTTGGAATTATTTAAGTTGTTAAGTTAATTTTAAGAAAACGGTTTTACACTTTTGTGAGAAACACGTTTCTTTACTGCAGAGAAGAAATGGATAAATGCTGTGTAAATGGAGTGGAGAATCAGTTTTTGCAATTTGAAATTAAGTAAAATTGTTGGAGTATTTCAACAGCTCTCTCTCTCTCTCTCTTTCTATTCTTCTTCTAACCCCTCTCTCCCTCTCTTTTTTTTTTTTTTTTTTTTTTTTTTTTTTTTTCCCTTTCCCGTTTACTCCCTCCACCATTCTCTTTTGCTTTACTTTGGTTATGATCCCAGCTGATTTCAGCCAGGTTATCGAGCTGTGTGAGTTGGTGGTTGTGAATTGAGGCCCAATTCATGACAAAATTGAAGCATTTAATTATACAAAGAATCATCCAGAAAAACCCAGTACCATCAACAGATTTCAATCAAGCATTTACAATCTTATCCATCATTAATATAAATAATCAATTCAAATTCGAAAATGAAATTTGTGTACCAAGTCAAAGTAAACGTATTACATATTACACCTTCGTATAAGTTCACCCATATTCAAAAGCTCAGAAGTCCATTAAATATGGAAAAAAAAAAATACAAATAAAAAAAACACCTTTATTGCAATAAAGCAAATCTTAAATACATGTGTAGCAACAAAATACAACTAAAATTAAACAGTAAAATGCAAAGATTGAGGAATCTAAATAACCTGAGTTCGCTTAATCTTAATAAGCAGCTCCTTCTGTACGGAAAACGCTTCCTCAACAATCCTCGACACCTCCAAAACCTTTCCTCCTATCTTCTCCGCAGCAATCTTAACCTTCGCAACATACTCCGATATTAGATCCCCGAACGCGATAATCGACGGATCCATCGCCACCGCAGCATCTCCACCGACCTCCGCCGCACCACCACTAGCGGACAGCACCTCCAGCCGCGCCACCGCGGATTCCAGCCGTTTTATCAAATTCTCATCCATTTCTTCAGCTCACTCTCCACTCTTTCTCTCTCTAGAATTGCTTTGTTTTCGATTCCAATCAGAGTTGATCTGTCAATATCACCTTAATGGAAATAAAATTCTTAATAGATTTTTGCCTTTCAAAATAAAAAGTAGATTTTGGTTGAAAAACTTAAGAGGTTAAGAGAAAATGGAGATGTCTTTTTCTTTTTCATTTTTCGGAAGTGGAGAGAACGTGGGCCTTACACGTGTCGATTAAGAAGAGACATTGTCGCTTTACAGCTTCTGTACCTCAGGTGATGGGCAACAATGGATCCAGCCCAATTAAACCGATCGACTCAATCCGATTTGATTGGTTGGTATTGAATTTTGCAATAGACTAGGTCTTGTTTTATGGGTAATGCTATTCATACTCGTCATTGTACATTACAGTTTATGATTTAATCTATTAATGTGATAGTATTTTCTTATTTCATATATCAAATCATTAATCGTCACATGTATATAACGCAATGTGACTGTAATAGTGAGTGACTACAAATATCATTATTCTTGTTTCGTTGTTAGATTTTAGGTCGAGTTGGATTGGGTTGCAGTTTACCAATAAAAAATCAACTCAATACGACTCGCTTATAAAAATTATGATTGCTTTAGATAATGGAACCAAAGCTCGTTTCTCTCTCCTCTTTCAACTATCCAAAAAATAGTTTTATCTTTCTTCTCTTCATTTTATTCTTTATGATTTATATGGATTTCATGTCTAACATCATAAATTAAAAAATTCTTCTAGGGTTTGATTAGTCAAAACTTGAGGATATGATTTGATTTTGTTTTAATTATTTCTATGAAATTTTCCAGTTCCATTGATTTGTATTGTCGATTTAATACTTTCAATTAATTGACCACACTAATTGAATGATTAGTTACTAGTCAATTTTGACACTTGAGAGAGGAAAATTTAGACGCAATCACGATAATAACAAACCTAGACTTTATGGGTTTTGAGAAAAAGTATGAAATCTATTAAGCTTGTTCCATCTAAAAATCACGATCTTAATAAATCTTGATTTTATTTCAGAATAGAGATATTAAAATTAATTTCTAGGATTAATTCTTGAGAGAGGTGGTAGAATTACACTAGTATTCTTGTTCATTAACATGGAAAAATAATTAGAGATAACTAAGCTTTTGAAAATCTTATTTGATAGCTGGGTAAAATTATACCATAGGCAATCTTATATTGATTAATTCGTATACTTGCATATATTCATTGAATTCGTCACAATCATCCCAAGTTTAGATAAAGTATTAATTCCAAAATTCATTCATCCAAATCAAATAGATGCTACACAATTATAGTGCTCAATATAAAATTAAATTGCATTCACGTGGATTTGACACTCTAACTCTATTCGTACGTTACAAAAATTAATACTGTGCACTTGGTATAATTTACACTGTAAAAAATGCTTGATAAGTTTTTGGCATTGTTGCTGTGGATTGTTTTATTTGATTTTTAATAATATTATTACTAACTAGATTTATTTTAATTTAGATTTCTTTATTTTGTTAATTTTGACCATCGACCCTGACCTCTTTTTGTTTGATATTTTTCCAAGTATTATTCAGTAGTATATACTTATTCTACAATGGAGCAAAACTATTGCAATAAGTAATCTCGAAGTGGATGATAATGATATGCTTATAGAAGAGATATATTGTAAGTTTTGTTATGAGATGTATTATACTGGGCACTATGTGTATACATGTACCAACTCCCCTAGGTTAAAGCTTATGTGGTTTATATAATATTTAAGATGTCGAAAATAAACAATTAACAAATCTAATGAAAACTACATGCTCGTGGGAGATTATGTATTTGTCGATTGGGATAAGGACATCATACCTATGGGAGATGGTTCTTCATTGTTGAACGAGAAGATGTTTGCAATATAATGCACTTGTCAAGTTGGATGATAGCAACACGTGTGTTGGAAATGGGAGATACTGGTTTGAATTTAAAAGGTGGGGATATACTCCACTTTAAAAAGTTGAAAAAAAAAACTATCATTGCCCATAGATTTGGACTAGGAATCGACTATTCAACCTGGAGAAATATCAACTATTGAAGAAGAACATAAAAATAATAACAAATTAATCACAATAGAACTAAATGAAGTAGCAATTAATGAAGATGAAATTAACACACATTCTTTCGACTTTATTGATTACCCAAAACTTTAATTTGTGATTAAGCCCGAGGATGGAGAAGTCTACATCGTTGATTTTGAAACGTACGGAATATGCAAGTCTTATTACCTCGAAAAAGGCAATGCTAAAATTTGTAAAATCAATGAAGAGTGGAGCAAAGTCAAAAGAAGTGAAATGAGCAAGGTATCAAAAGGTTTCTTCAAAGTCCATGATGCAGATTATCAAAGTCAAACTAATGCCTATAAACAAGAGTTTCTTGAGAGGCAACCCAAACTTTTTATCTCTCTCTCTCTTATCTTTAGATATTAATTTATATTTTTATTAGTAATTTAGTAATGAGAGGAATAAGTTGATTCATAAATGATATAGGTCAAATTAGTGGCCTTAGAAGCTAGATATGAACAACCACTAAACTAAAATTTGCATCCTTTAACCGACTTTAGGATAGTTTGGATGGTTGAGTGATTATAGGGAAACTTGGAAATAGATGTGGATTCAGTGTGTGTTATATATTGTGTAGATTGTTTGAGACTAATGGGATGAAAAATTAGTTGGAAACCTTAAGTTAGAGGTTGTTTTCGACAATTAGTGTTAACAAGGGACATTAAACAAATCACTGCAAAAAAAGGAAAAAACTGTTTTGTTATGAAACTACCCTAAAAATTCTCAATGATGACAACTATAATAATCTCATTGTGAAACATCTCTTCGTAACTTTTATGACTCGAGTAATTAAACCTACAAGGGTTTAAAATTGATGTTATGAAGTTATCTGATTTGAGAGTCATTAGCCTAAAATTCGGTCAGTCGGAAAACTTAATGTAGAGACTTACGGACATAAGATTAATTAAAGAACACAGACACACACACACACATAAAAGCAAGTTCATGAAACAGAAGGATAACCGCTTTATTAAGCCCCAAATATTTGTTTTAGAGGATTAGATCATTAATAAGGGATTAGTAACTTGGTTGATTCTTTGAGGTTGAAACGGTCAAAAATAGGAAGAACTAAGTTGAATTGCAATTAATGAAATCTAACCAACTTGAAGAGAGTAGGGACTAGTGATTTGTAAATCAACCTTAGATTACACCCTTGGCAAGAGAAAAAAAGTTTGTAGGTGTGCGAATCCCACGGCGAAGAAAGGAAGTGCTTGACTTTTAAGGTGGGAAATCGGATAGACTTATGAATGTACAATGTTGCATTTAATTCTCCACATACATACACACAATTCGCATTGAATATGTAAGAATTTAGCTTTTACACTATAACTTTGAAGTATTTCATGAATTTGATAAAAATATTTCAATCCTGACCATAAAGGTGAGCTATCTAACTAAACTTATTTTAGGTGAATTCATTTGTTAGTTTTGTTTGTGTGTTCTCGTTAGTTTCTTTTCCATTTCTTGTGTGTTTGCTCGAGGACTAGTAAAGTATTAAGTTTGGGGGTATTTGATGAGTGTGTTTCATTCATCATATTAATGCTACTCATCTTGATATTTCGTTTGACTATTAGAGTTTTAGAACATTATGATTTGTATTTTGGTATTGTTTTATAGGTTAGGTAAATTGGTGTGAATAATGCAAAATTTGGAGAAAACATTAATTTTGGCATGAATCAAGGTTGATATTGATTTGTTGAAACTTTATGATTTGAGGCTAAATTGAAAGAAATAAGCGAATAACGACGAAAAATAGTGAAATTTAAAGTTTGAGAACTCAATTGTAACTTTTAATAGTTGATTCAGACTACAAAATAATAGTTGGAGATTGCTAGGAGTCATCGAATGCAAGTAGAAGTCAAAAAGGAGTGAAATACGATCAAAATAATTTTACAAATCAATTTTCAACCATACAAGTATGTTTCAAATTTTTAGCCGAAGATCGAGACCCATTTTTGATATAGTAAACATTTAAATTGGAAGGTTTAATCTAAAGTAAAGTTCTATTCTTTTGAGTTATCTTTTCAATGCATTTTGAATCGTCTCAACTAGATATTCGGAGAAAAAGTTATGATAAAAATATTGAAAGATGTGCAGTGCTGATTTTCCACCTGAAAGTGAATGCTGCAACGCCACCATTATTGAATTTTAACAGCAAGGTGGTGTCGCAGCGCCATGACTGTGGCGCTATTGGGAGAGAAAATGATTTTTTATTTTGAATTATTTTCTTGGCCCAATCTAACCCCAACCTTTCCAAGACTTCATGATGATATAATAACAACCCAAAGACCACTTTTCAATGAGAATTCAACCGAGCAAGAATGAGGGGGCAAGTTCAAGAAATCAAGAAAGAGGCAGAGGAAACTTAATGAAGAATATTATTTCAACCATCCAAAAAATTAGTTTAATCTTTCTTCTCTTCATATTATTTTTTATGAATTGGATAGATTTCATATCTCATATCATGAACTAAATAATTCTTTTAGGGTTTGATTAGCCAAAACTTGAGGATATGATTTAATTTTCTTTTAGTTATTTCTTTGAAGTTTTTTTAATTCCATTTATTTGTATTTTTGATTTAATGCATTCAATTATTTGGTCACTAATTAAATGATTAAATGCTAGTAAATTCTAGCACTCGATATAGGGAAATTTAGGCACGATCACAACAATAACACATCCTAGATTTTATGGATTTCGAGAAAAAGTGTAGAATTTATGAAGCTTGTTCCATCTAAGAACTACGATCTTGATAAATCTTAATTTTAATTTGAAATAAGATATTGGAATAATTTTTTAGGATTAACTTTTACTTGGCACTTGAGAGAGAGAATAGAATTATATTAAGGTTCTTGCTTATAATCATATCCCTAGAATCTCCTATATAGATTAATTCGTATAACTTGTGTTTATTAATTGAATTCGTCACAATCATCCTTAGTTTAGATAAAACATTGATTCTAAAATTCATTCATCTAGATAAAATAAAGGCTACACAATTATAGTACTTAGTATAAAATTAAATTACAATCCCTATGGAATTGACACTCTAACTTCACAATC